ATATGTTGTGACATTGCGATAAATAATTAAAGAGTAATTGATTTAACAATTTGCCAGTCGTCGCCGTCCCGCTTCGTCTTCGCATGCGCTGAATAATTCAATAAATCGCTAATGAATTAATTAAATTGTCATGACGCCCGTCTTCGCCGATCGCAATCCTTTCTCGCCGACGCGCCGCCTCCCGGATAACATCGGAACGTTTTGCCGGCACACGGCACGGCGCGTTTAATTGCCGCCTATTGACTCCGGCTAATTTGCAGTTGTACGCACGACACGCTGAGGCGCCGAATGTAACTTCATTGCCGCCGCCGTCGACGTTTCTCCACTCGCGTCGCGTTTTTAATTAATTAATATTCATACGCGGAACGCGGCACTTGGGCGCATCGGTTTGCTGCGTTTGCATCTTTTATGATGAACGCCAAAGTTTTCGCGTGCGAGGATGCAGGAGTGAATTATTATGGATTCGCATTGGTGAATTATGCACGAGTGAAAATTGCGAAATTGTCAGACTGCCGATGATAACTGCAAATGGAAAATTACGGTGTAAACGAGTCACAGTTGTAATGGATGTGATAAAACCCAATAAACGCGATTCGATTTCATTGGAAATTTATGTTTTCACAGGCAAAAGTTTAGCTTTTTGATCAATGAGCATGAAATTCTGCATTAACCAAACATAACCTATTTAAATTTAACCTAAAATATCAATTTTTGACATTTTCACATATTAATTTGACAGTTCTGTCAAAACATAACCTAATTCAAATAAAACAAAATACAGTCAGTAAACTTGAAGCAACTGTTGATTAACTGTGTCTAGTATATCAAAGAAATGCCGTCGTAGCATATTGTCGAGTGCAGAGAGTGCTACGACCCCGTTTTTTTAAATATACGAGTACGTAGTAAAGCAGCTGTCTGTCTGTCCATCGTGTGCTCCTGTAGCCTGGTGATTTAATTCCGCCGAGGGGTGAAAGCAAGCACCAGCAAACATGGCGTAGCATCATGCTGTTAGAATACCTTCAAACCTATTATTACAGTAAAAAAGGAAGAGTCTACTTAAGCATAAGTTTCTTTAAACTGTTAATGTGGTGTTGGTGGTGTTGAAAGTCCCGTAAAATACGTCTTCTAATTCTTTTCTTCCAATAGAAGTAAAGGTGTCTAGATTGTGGGCATTTGATATTTCCTTGCAAGTTGCAAGTTCGGCAACCCGAGTACCATGTTTGGATGTGTGGATGTGTGGAAAGAAGCCACTGTCTGTCTGTTTTACTTTGTTAATAGACTTCCGGTGCTTGCTTCCTTTCGCCTCCTCACATGTTACATTACGCGGCGATATATCCGAAATATCCGAAATATCGAATTATACCCACACGCTTTCAGCACCGGGGCGAATAAAATATCAAAGCCGGAGGACCGGAGAATTAATAGGCCGGAATCAACAATGCCACCATCATGCCACCGTACCCTGTATGTGCATTCAGTGCTCTATAAGTCTGCGATTAGGGAATAAAATGCGAATGGAGACTTTCGCATCCTAGGGCCTAGGGGGACTTCTTCATTGAATTTGCACACAACAAAAGAGGATTCATGAAAGACGTCGGTTTTTTTTTGCGCTGGTTTTGGGGTAGTTATAGGGACGGGGTCGCGTGCGAGATTTAGCTATGGCACGCGAGCGTGTTTACACCCCGTCCTGATATTCTGACCACTTGCATATTTTTACTATGAGAGAAGAGGAATGGAACGAAGTGTGTCACACTTTTGCATCACTAGGGTGGAAAATGCTTAGGGTTCATGGCGTTTTGATTTCTAGTTTTTATATCAATGAAATAACGGTATTTTGGACAGTGCCAGGTTTCATTATTTGAATCCCAGGGGACAATTGGGATTTTTTTTAGTTCAATGACATTCAAGGGGATGTTAGGGTTCTCGACGTGATGGATTCTTTTATTTGGTCATTACGTAGAGTATTCTCTGGATAGCCACTGCATTTTTCGTTTATAGCCTCAGATTCCAGAGTAAATTGCGACATTTTTCTAGTTTCAGCAAAGTGTAATAAAGACATAACATTCATTGATCATCTTGAGGGTGTAAAAATATATTAAGCTATTATTCCACACAATTAAAACATTTTTAGGTTATGTTTGTAGGAAAATTCAAACTTTTGACAGTTTGAACAAAAATATAGCCAATATTTCACTGCATCATTGTATTAATTAAAATATTTTATCAACTCGTAACGGTTGGTAGCACTCCCATCAATTCTAGATGCTGCCACGTGTCCAGCCCCTAATTTAAACATTTAATTTAAACACACAGTCTCGTTACGCGCTACGCCCAGCACGTTTATACGGCATCAATCCTAACCTATTCATACACGCCGAGGACATCAAGCATGAAGCATGCAGTCACAGCGCGTGCCGCGAAAGACACGTGCCAACCTGGCAACCATACAAAACACCTTGGACACACTCTATGCGTTCGAGTTGTAGGTTATGGGTTTTAGGTAAATACGAAAATACGGTCTAGTGCTATAAGGAGTGGATGAAAAGGCACACGACAGCATGCCGCGTGCGCATTTTTTCTTTTCTTTCAATATCCACTGCGTCCCGAAACCCAAGGGGAGGAATTGAGGTGTGTGCGTATTCAGACGCGTCATAGAAGTATGAAATTAAGAACTATTGAAAACTACGAGCAGAATGCCGAAGCCCGGTGTCTGGTTTGATTCAAGTTTATACAAGGCTACAGCTACAGAGGGTTGATTTATTGATACAGGTAGCTGCGTGGCACACTTCAGACGTCGGTTGGATTAAATTTGCACACTCGCGCGCCGTAAGCAGCCGTGTTTTCGATATTTTGATCAAAGGGGGAGATGCAACGGGTGGTTAAAGGGTGCTGGGTGCACTTTCACCTTCATCTGCAGCGACAGCATAGGGGTGCATCAGAATGTTGAAGAATTGAAAGAAACGCGTGCGGGATGAAGACAATAGGTGCGTTTGGCTGGCAAAGGCTGCAAAACGACAGCTGCAGTAATATAACCTCAAAAGTGTAAACCACACCAAGAAAAAAAATACGATGTATTCTTTAAGTTAAGAAAGACAACTTATTTTAATCTTTATTTGTCATAATACCACCTTACAACTTATTCTACTACTAAAGAAACTAAAGTATGAAAAGTATAAAGGGTTAAAAAGGGTGTGTAAGGCACCAGTTTTGATAAATACCTTGTAAGACCTTGTAAGAAGCACACACAAAAGATTTGTTTAGATTTGTCCGACGTCCGGGCATTGTGCACTTCCTCAACCTGCTGAGATTTGAGGCGTTTGAGGGGTTGCTATTCATGAGCCGTATCTTGACGCCCCGACGCGCGCGATTAAGAGTCAAGACACACCCTAATTGAGACGTTCCCCTTCGCATCCAAGGAGGTAATTGTAAAGTGTTTACCAAGGCGTTTACATTCGGCGGAACACTTCTTAGATAACGTCACAACAAGGGTGAGGGGAGAAGTAAAACCGACAGGTACTTATACTTATTGACATAAACTTGTTTCTTTAAGATAACACTTTATCAAGTGTTATTTATACAATAAAAAAAATTGTGTTAGTTACACCGTTTATAACTCAAGTACGGCTGGACAGATTTTGATGATCTATGATTTGATGGATATGTTTTATCTTAGAATAACAGAATAAATATTAAAATATTAAAAATTTTGTTTACAGAGGGTTAAATAAACAAAAATACATTTAGATATGTTATATTTGATTATTTTAAAAATTGTGCTATATTAAATGCTATTATATTAATGATATACATCAAATTTAATGATTTATAAAATATGTTTCATGTAAGAATTTAGATTCAGGATGATTGCCTGAGGGTTGGAGCGGAGCGAGGTGAGTGAAAGTGGCCGATATCGAAGGTCGGCGAGACAATGAAGTGTAACGGTCGGCCGGAGCAGCTGACGCTCATCACCCTCGACGCCTGGGTGCTAATAACACGCGAGCGATAAATATAAATCGTACGGTTTTCAGGGATTCCGTTACAGATGGCTGCGCGCACACCACACACCCACCCCCGATGAGCCGAACACCTCGACGCCTAGACCGGACGTGAAGTATCAACAATGATTCATCTTTTTTAAATATGGGCATTGTACCGGAACGGACAATATCGATAGGTAGGTTGGAAATTAAAGCATTTCTCAACATGGGCAGCTTTTTTAAAATGGTTTATGAGTGCGTTATGGGGTAGCATGACATTACATGCGTGTTTTTATGATTAAATTTATCGTGTTTTTCCCCTTTTTAACCGCCAATTTTCAATTTTATTACTGATTGCTTGTGGGTTGCACAGGAACACTTAAAATTTGTGTTGTGTGTGCTATGAGTATGAAATATTTTGTAATTAGGCTTTTTTCCGTTAGAAATGGGCAGAAATATTATTATATTTTGTTATATTGAGGTTATACTAGTACAAAAAATTAATTATGTAAAATTTAATTCATAAAACATATTTTTGGAATTTAAGAAAGGATACTGCGTTTATTTTACTTTCAACCCTCAAAATATGTAATTTGATAACATTGGCTCATAATAATCATGTAAAATTTATATTTTAAAATTGTTTATCTTTCTTTACAGCGCGAAATCCCAAAAAAATTTAAAAAAATCATGCTAAAAATAAAATTCATTTCAGGACGAACTGGAACCTGGAGGCGTTCCTCTGCAATCCGGTTGGCAACGCGTTCCTGCGCATCCTGCGAGCAAACCGTTCGACATCCCAGCGAAAATAGAGATCGCACATCTCCCGAAGTTCCCGAGCCCTTGCGATTCAGAAGCAGAAAACTCTCCGATGCATCGGCATTGGTCGCGCTCCGCCCCAGCGCCGGCATGCCACCACCAATCCGATGCACACGTTCTCCCACCCCAAGCGGGCCTCGTTCACCTCACACAATAGGTGGAAACGTGGTATAAATACCCAGCTACCCACCGAAGAACTACAAGTCCACGTTGAATCACCATCAGCGTCACATCACAACAAACATTTGAAATGGTCTAGTTCTAGATCAACTAGACTAGTGCGTAAAACACAGTGAACACAGAGTGTTGCGTCTGGCATGCCTCGCGTCTACCACCACCAGGGACATGAAGAACACTTCTCCAGCGCAGTGGGCGCTATCAACGCGCTCAACGTGGACGCGATGCCCTTCGCGAGATATCCGCCTTTTGGAGGTGCCACCGATGTGCTCCAGCTGCAGCGACTTGGGTTTGACCCACAGTTGCTATCCACTGCGGCTGTTATCCAACAACAATTGCAGTATTTGAGATATTCCGAACCACTAGACTTTTCCTATCCCTTGGATCTTTCTGTGAAACCTTCAACCACAACTGCTATAAACACCTTAAACACTACATTACTACGAGAAGATGTAGAATCACCTATAACACCTCCATGTACTCCATCACCCAATAAAAGACCTGTTTCTCCCAAATCCCCACAATCTCCACCTGAACAACCTGCGAAGAAACCAAAAACTGCACATACCAAGAAACACAAAGCCACCAGAAAGTTAATCTTTGATGAAGACAACTCCAGCCCAGTTTCGGGGACGATTATTCGAGAACTGCGTCCTGATGAAACATTAGTGGTGAGAAAAGGAGATATTGATCCGGCGTTTAACGTCGTTGAAGTCACTGACGAAGCCAAGGCGGAACTTGCCAAAATCGAAAACCACATTGGCGATTACGTCTGTAGGCTATGCAGAGAATTATACGAGGATGCGTTTGGTCTGGCACAGCATAGATGCAGTCGTATTGTCCACGTGGAGTACAGGTGCCCAGAATGTGACAAAGTGTTCAATTGCCCAGCTAATTTAGCATCTCATCGAAGATGGCATAAACCTCGTCCTGGGGTTCCTAGTAATAAGGAAACTAAAGTCTCGGAAGAAATTCTTGATGGTAATGGTGAAATTGCTGGTGGTTCTGCTGGAGGAGGTGGTGGTAACGAAATATTTCCATGTAATGAATGTGGGAAGAAGTTTCGACGCGTTGCGTATCTTCGTAAACATCAGACGCTGCACCAGGTAGACTGACAACGGTTGCATCAGAGGATCCCGGCGGTGGTGCGGCCAGTTCCGCGGATGGCGTCGACTTTTTGGCGCCCGCCGCCACTGCCCCCGGCCATTGTTGATGTCGGCGCGATGATGAATACAGCAGGTATGAATATGAAGATGCGATGCGTGTGGGATACTGGTATGGTTATCTAAGAATCATTTAGTTTAGGATTTTGTGAAAGAAATGCGCTTTTTGTGTTTATAACTAGTCAAATAACTAAGTCATGAGATTATAGTCCCAACGGAAATAATTGAACGTTTAACTTCTAGTCACGTATTTATTATAGGCAACCCAAACATCACAAAGGATACAAAATAGTCAAGTCAAATCTAGTCTTATTTTATTTCTAGTCATTTTCTTAAGTACAAAATTGAAATAAAATCAAATCTAAGACACAGAAATGAGAATCTAGTCAACTTAAATTTAGTTTACGTTTATTCTAGTCGTTTTAGTCTGAATAATTTTAAATTCCTCATAAAATCTAGTCAGGATTTAATTTTTTGTAGATTTTTGGATAGATATCAGTATTAGACGTCCAGATAGTCCATACTTGTATTACATTCCAGCAGGTTTCAAAGGTTTCAAAAATTCAAATCATAATTTTAGTCATCTAGAAGTTTGTATAACCGTCGTTAGTCATAGTCATTTCTAGTGCCATTAATTTGCGATAATACGCAATATTCATAAGAGTCATTTAAACCAAAATGTGATATTAGTTTTATTTGCTTTCGATTTTAGAGATTAATCACGGATAACTAATCAAAACTAGTCGCTAATTTGAGTTGTCACAAATTCAAATGGGCATTATTTTAGTTTTATACTTTTATCATAGGCAACCCAAAATACTTATACTTTATTTCTTGTACATTTACTTGATAAATCGTCAATTATCATACACACGTTCCTAAAAGAGTATTATTTAATTAATTCAAGTGTCGAAATTGGTCAAAAATTGTTTTTGCAACTTGCGGCTCGCACTTAATTTGTAATTTAGTTTATTCTAGTCAAAAACTAGTCAGAAAAAGTAAAACGTCAAGAGTCATTAGATTTTAGTTAGTTTTAAGTTAAATAATTTAACATTTCACTTCATTTAAACGCATTCAATTGTCAATTGTAGTTTAATTTGATTAGTGCGGGCGATTGGGAAAAAGTTTGCAATAAGCTTAAAGCAGCAACTTATCTGCACTCAAAATTTAAATTAGTTTTTAGTTCGTACTTAAAATGCCCGTTTAAATTTCATGATGAATGCCAATTGGGATTACAAATGCCAGTAATAACATTTTAACAACATATATCAATAGTATAAGATAATAAATGTGATATTATTTTAATTAATTGAATAAATCTAGTCTAATCTAGTCTATAATTGTACGTCTAGTCACGACATAATGCTAGGATATTAAAATGTAAGATTTTATTTATATATTTATGATTTTTATTTTTATTTAAATTTTTTGTGCCGTCAAAGACGGCCAGAAGGCGAGTGTATATCTAGTCAAAAATGTGCACACGGTCACGTAAACCATTCAGCCATGCGAACGCCAAAAAGGAAACTTTTAAACAAATTGTATGTAAATTATAAATTATAAACATGTCTAATGTATAAAGTGTAAAATTATGGAAAGGGTATAAAGTTTACGGCGTAAATGATCTCATTTCAACTTTAAGTATAGTTTTAAAAACGTTGTACAAACAAATTGTCATTATAATGAACTTAGATTAATGAATTGTAAACGTTAAGAGATTACGTAAATAAAATAAAGTTATTAATATAATATAAAATAATATATAAGTAATGATTGTCATTAGTTAAGATTATAATAAAAATATAAATCTATACAAATTACAAATCCAATTATATAACAAGTAAATCTTAGACAATTGTTTGTTACTAATACTTTGTGTACACATTTAAAACTTTTGTTTGCGCCGTATTTTCATAAGTAATGTTTGCTGATTGTATTTATTCTGATTTATTGTGTTTTTGTGTCATTATTAGGATTATGTACTTAACTAGAATTATTTGTATGGTTGCAAAAGATAACGAATAAAATTTGTATAAGTTCTGAATGCTGCATTTATTTGTGAAACATTGAAAAACCAAATATTTTACCTTATTGCATTGAAATCACGACTCCAGTTCCAGAAATTATTTACATAGCAGTTACATTATTGCATATAATATACTACATGTTACTACGTACATTATATGCAAATGTGTGTAGTTGGTTGCCTATAGTAATAATTTTAGTAAAAATATTTTCGGTCGAAAGACAGGGTCGAACTTTTTTAGTAAAATTATTTTCGGCTGAAAGACAGGGTCGAACTTTTTTGGTTAAATTATTTTCGGTCGAAAAACATGGTGGAACTTTTTTGATTAAATTATTTTTGGTCGAAAGATAGGGATAGGGGATAGGGACATCGAAGAAAAGATTTCGTCATAAAAAAGTCAAATCTTTTCTCTTTTTTATGTCCAAAATTAAAAATTGGAATTTTCAACTTCTGTTTGCAGAATCTAAACAAACGATTAATTCTTATCAATAAATCTTAGTAAGCTTTTTTGATCTTTCTTTGTTTAGGCCTCAAAATTAACCCAAGAAATTTATCAATGCTAGATACATGTACCTACTCTATCTTTTGCTCCTATCTTTTAAATCTTAAGTCAAATTGCAAATAGTTATTAAGATATTATGCCAGTGACATTGTTTCCTTTAGTAATCAGCAATAAAAAATCTCATTTTTTAATTTCTGAAAAAAATTACATTAATTGGCACAAATTTGGTGGAGGCGCCTAACATTTAAAAATAATTAAAAATTAACAATATAATTGGGTAAAGTAACTTATAATTGCTTTATTTACACAACTTCCTGCATAATAATTCAAAGGGTTTGTCTTGTGGGCGTATTTGAATGCAACATGTACTTGCAGCGATACTTAATATCCAATTATCTCGGGAATTAATGAAGATAACCGAAAACGGAAAACGGTATTGCATTAACCCAAAAATTCTACATTATGTAAGACTTTAAAATTTCCATTTTTAAGATAGTAAAAATTGATTTTCCAACGCAATTTTCTAGAAAAGCACAGAAGTTAGAATAAAACTTTTTGCATTTTCTTCATGCCAAAACAAGCCTCTACGAAATGGCAGATTTATTTTTTTGATTCTATGAAGTTGACCAAAGACCACTCAAAATCATCAAGAGGTTACACTTACATATATTTTGGCTCAAAAAATATTTTGTAAGTTAGAAGAAAATGGAAAACGCCAATCGATAGAGAATTAAAAGGGGATGAAAGATATCTGATCAGTTTTCTGATAACATCAATATTTTGGAAAAGTGAGGTGAAAATCGAAACAGACCAAATTGAACCACCCTTCAGATTTTTACAAAACTTTCTAACATGGTATAGAATCATGCTAGGAGTCCATTAATGTTAGTTTTGTTTCCCTATCTTAATTAGTTTTTGAGTTATTGACCATTTTCAATAATTACGTAAGTGCTGCAAACAGAAAATTTAAAGTGTTATATAATATAGATTTTTTCCCTGCAGCCGAATCTGTAAACCATTTTCGTTTATCTTTATCGGTTTTCGAGAAAAGTGGAAAAAACTGAATTATTCATTCTTCCATCTTTTCTTACGTAAAAAATAAAAATTGAAAATATGACCTTTTTATTACAGAATATTGAAGAACATGAAAGTTGGAATACTTTATCTTAACAAAAATTTGTCCTATGATGTACCGTTTTATTCATAATCACCATATTTCAATTTCTTTCTAAGCAAATTCAACGTGTTAAAATTGTTAATAGGACCTAAACGGTTCTAGTTATGAAAAAATGTTACTTTAATATTCGATGTAGACTTAATTAATCTATAAGAATCTGAAATCAGATTTCAAAAATTCCAACTTTTAATTTTAAACATAAAAAAGATAAAATATTTCTCTTTTATGACGAAATCTTTTATTTCGGCAATAGCAGGTTTTGTAATAATATGAATTTTTAAATTTTGATAATAATTTATTCCATGTTATGTAATAAAAAAAATCATTTCAACGGAAAATATTTTAAAGAAATAGTTCGACCCTGTGTTTCAGCAGAAAATAATTTTAGGAAACAGTTCGACCCTGTTGTTCGACCGAAAATAATTGTTTTGAGTATAAATTCGACCAGAATTTAAATTTCGTGCACTTTTATGTATTCCCAATTATTACCCATGTAACATTAATACAACTAAGCAACTACCCTACAATATATTAATTTAATATCGATTAAATTAACCTCTGTTCAAGCAGTGAAGCTCGAATCCGTTGAGCTGTGGTACATGAATTTATTGTTTAACAGAATACGAAGTGTTATCAAGGCATTTCGCTGCCCTTTTGACTAGCAACAATGAATGAAACTTATGTAAAGTTTTACGAGAGCATGCAGGGCAAGTGTTGCCCAAATACCAGCACAATAAGTATGTATATCTTTTAAACTCAGCAATAACCTATATGATAATATTTTAATTCCATTGTTTACTATTTATATGTCTTGCAATGCTTTGTTTCTTCTAGAATATTGTGATGACAACTTAGAGTTGAATTGCAACTTCAATGCACTAGATAAAGACACAAGAAATTTTCTTCTTGAACTGGACCCACATATTCCAGTTATCAGGCTGATTTGCCAATGCTTATCATTGTATCATCTCACCATGATTTATGTGGAATTAGGTGATGCTACTACAAACTGGAAGTCTATCATTACTGCAGAAATGAAAAGACGTATTAGCACAGTTAATTGGGTGACTTCCTGGTATAATCCTAAATTGGCGTTTGTGAAGAAGGCTCATCCTATAGAATTCAGCAAACATTTGTTTTCCTCACAAATTAATGCTGCTTTTACCTTTTTCTCAAATAAAATTGCAAATAAATATGGTAAAAATTGTATGTGATTGATATTCAATTCTTACATATTTTCTAATTACTTTGCTTGCAGTTCTAAATTTTTTGAAACAAGATGGCACATTTCACCTGAAGATTCCACATGTATTATTGAGCATGGATAATTTAAGATTTAATGGCTATGAAGGGCCACATACATTGGTTAAAGCACATAAACTGTTTAAGGATCAGTCTATGTACTTTACTCTTTGCTTTCCACCTATACCAGGCATAAATATAAGATATTTTACATCAGCAAGTGAAATTCCTCAAGTGATCAAAGCAAATGAGGAACTGGCATGTCTGCTGTTGTTCTTATCATCTAACGATCCTATTGAGGTCGAAGCTGTATTGGATGAGATAGCAAAACTGTACGTAGTTTAAATGATCTTTTCTTAATTTTATTTTGATTTGCAATTTTATGTACAGACAGACAATACAGATTCCTATGGCTGGATCATTTGGTTTGAGACATATGCATAAGATAAACTGGGATGGACCTGCATCTGCGACTTACGTTGCATTCCTTCGCCAAAAGGACAGTGCCAGCAAGTTCTTTGCAGCTTCAACTGTTGTCGACTGTGATTATGACATTTTTGAGTCGAAGATATTAGAAGTAAGGGTAATGACATTATTTAATGTTGCATATATTAAAGAATCCGTAAATTATTTTAGTTTAAAAACGGGTTAGAGCGACACCACGAGGAATTTCTTCTGTCTTTTGTTTGTTGTGGAAGGAGGAGGAAGGCAGCGGAGGCGAAGACATTAGGCATGCATTTTGATTGCCCTATAATTCAAATGGATGTTAACGGAGAAGTGGGACATGATTGTTATGCTACAGACAATTGCGAGCCAGCGGGTAAAATGATGAAAAGAACATTTCATTATGTTCACAGTTTTACAACTGTCTTGATTTATATAAGTTGGGGAAATCAAAGGGCCAAAGAAAGCAAATGAGGTTTTGATAGGAAGTTGTATAATTTATTTTTTTAATAAAAATATCTTTTTGTTAAACAATGTTTTCTTTCCTCCTATTTTAATGTTTTCAGATTCGTCCTTGCATTGTAATTCTCTATAGAATGACGTTTTTCGGTCGAAAGATAGAGTCGAACTTTTCTCGTTAAATTATTTTTGGTCGAAAGACAGGGTCGAACTTTTTTAGTAAAATTATTTTCGGTCGAAAGACAGGGTCGAACTTTTTTTCATTAAATTATTTTCGGTCGAAAGACAGGGTCAAATTCTTTAGTTAAATTATTTCAGGTCGAAGCACCGAAGATAAGATTTCGTCATAACGAGAAGTCAACTGCTTTCTTTATTTTATGTTTGAAACTAAAAGTTGGAATTTTCAACTTTTGCTTGCGGATTTTAAATAAACGATTAATTCTTATTAATAAATCTTAGTAAGTTTTTTACCTTTCTTTGTTTAAATCCCAAAATTAATTCATGAAATTTAACAGTGCTAGATTAATACTACCTACTCTATCTTTAACTTCAATTTTTTGAATCTTAAGCCAAATTGCAAATAGTTATTAACATATCATGTCAGTAAAATTGTTTCCTTTAGTAATCAGCAATAAAAAGTCTCAATTTTTTAATTTCTAAAGAAATTACATTAATTGGCAAAAATTTGGTGGAGGCGCCTGACATTTAATAATTATTAAAAATTAATAATACCATTAGGTAAAGCAACTTACAATTACCATATTTGCACCACTTCCGGTACAATAGTTCTAAGGGTTCGCCTTGTGGACGTATGTGATTGCAACAAGTACATGCAGCGGTACTTATACCCAATTATCTTGGGAATTAATAAAGATAACCGAAAACAGAAAACGGCATTGTATTCACACAAAAATTCAACATTACGCAAGTCTTTAAAATTTCCATTTTAAAGAGAGTGAAAATTGATTTTCCAACGCGATTTTCTCGAAAAGTAGAAAAGTTAGAATAAAACTTTCTGCATTTTCTTCATGCCAAAACAAGCATCTATGAAATGGCAGATTTATTTTTTTGATTCTATGAAATTGACCAAAGACCACTCAAAATCATCAAGAGGTTACACTTGCCTATATTTTGGCTCAAAAATTATTTTTTAAGTTAGAAGAAAATGGAAAACGCCAATCGATAGAGAATTACAAGGGGATGAAAGATATCTTGTCAGTTTTTTGATAATATAATTATTTCGAAAAAATTGGGTGAAAATCGATACAGGCAAAACTGAACCACCCTTCAGATTTTCACGAAACTTTCTAATTTGTTGCGCAATGATGCAAGGAACCCATTTTTCTTGTTTTTATCCCAAAATTTTAAATGCTTTTCAAGTTATTGGACTTTTTTATTAATTACGTAATTATGAAAAACTTAAAATTTTTAAGTGGTATATTACGTACAATTTTAGCCTACATAGGAATCTGAAAACCGTGTTTCTTTAACATTAGTAGTTTGCAGGAAAATAGCGATAAACTGGATTATACAGTTTCGATCTCAATTCATGGTCAAAAAATAAAAATTTGAATTTTGAAATTTTTATTGCAGATAATTAAAGAACAGGTGATTTTAAACACTTTATCTAAGTTACGTTTTGTTATCAGACTAACTATTTAGGTAGTATTTACCAAGTATTTCAAGTGAGTGTAGAAAATCTTTTGGGTGAAAAAAGTTAAATATTCAGTTTATATTTGACGATACTTTGAAAGAGTTTGAAGAGTTCAAAAGTTTAAGACGTTATGAATTCTTATAGTAATTAAGAAAATAATTTTTTCGGTCAAATTAGGTCAAATTTTTTATAAGTTTTTGAAGCTGATGAAGGTACACAGAGTAACATTGAACAATTATATTTGTTTATTAAATTTATTCAATAAAATGTGTTGATGCAGCACTTATATACATAATATAAATTGTAAGAAATACATTTAACCACGCAGCAAAATAAAAGACCTGCCTTAATTCCATAAATACATAATAATTGTAATCAAATACATAAGTCAATATCAATTTTACACTAATCACGCAATTATAAATATATTTGTGTCGCACATACTAATTAATATAAAAAAGCATTTTCCACTGCCGATTACAGAATACAAATCAAACGAATATGAGCGCTAAAATGAGAGCAGCGATCACTCGTTTGTCGTGGGCGCGGGATATACGTTGGTATCATCTTCCTCGTCGCATCCGGCGCGCAACAAGTAAAACTTACTTCCGTTATTTCAATCCTCTAACATGCTTAAAATAAAATTTACACAACATTTACGTAATTTTCATTATGTTCATTTATTTTCTAATCACGTAAAATCATTTGGCATTCAATAAGTGTAAAATGAATCAATCAACAGGTTGCGAGACGTAAAATGGGTTGCCTATATTAAAACAACAAATGAACAATTATATTCAGTTGAAAAAAGTTTTAAAAGTCCTGAAATCAAAAAGAATACATTACTATTGCATATACATTTTATTTAATATAAAATTGCAATAATAATATACATATTATTAATATTATTAATATTATTATATATTATGCTAAATTACACATTTTACGTTAATGTTATTGCACTATACTCAAGTTTATAGTATTGACTGCGCATGTTAAGCGTAAAACAGGATATTATTCACACTTGCATCCACTGTCATAAAACTTTATCTATTTTATGACGTCTCAAATAAAAATTCTGCGTTTGTTCACATGTGCACTTAAGAAACTCTGAAAATTTACAGTAACACCCTAAAGGCAAGTCAAGAAGTGTTAAAACATCTGACCACCACGTGCTTCTTAATTTTCAGGGTAAAATAGCAACCATCTAACTCAGCTTATTCACACACTATTCTCATACGTTGCAAAAGCTTTAATATTCATTGACTAGAACGCATACTATACTTACTATTCCCGACTGGCTGGTTCTATGGGCTGGCTTGGACTTGGTGGTAAAGCAACTTTGGTGTAGCTTGGCTGGTATAGCTGCAAAGAAGCCAAGTAGTCTCAGTCGGTTGCGGGTGCGCGTAGTGGTTGGCAGCGCGCGCATACTTAGCATACTTCAGCGGTTCAGCCCAGCAGCTTCAGCGCTTGCGAGCTTGTGAGCGGGCGGCGCGGACTCGTCTCAGTCAATCGCGGCCGGGGCGGGCGACGCGCCTGATGCGCAAGTGACTTACTCCGACCTATCGGTTTAAATTCGTTCGCGCTTTCGTTTGAATTACGCGCATAACGCGCCTGATTTCGCCGTGGGTGCGCGATAACAAGACATTTATCTGGGAGAATGGAAACTCTACGGCGACTTGGGTAAGTTTTTACATAGAAACAAATTAAAACTTTTTGAATATTTTTTATTTAAACAAAAAACATGGATAAACGAAGAATATATTAAATTTATTCAGAAAAAATACTCGCATGTTATAAAAGTGCTCTAAATTTGAACGCAACGCCTTTAGTTTTTTGCCGTCCGTTTCCTAGAAGTGCTTGGTGTTTCTTTCCAGGCAATATCTTTCGGTCATCTTCCGATTTCGGATCTGTTAACTAAAAGATGCGTTTGTTCTTCGGCCGCGCGCTGAAAACTCTTGAAGCTTGTGAAGCTTCCCGCACACGTCGCGCTCGCACATAAAAAGCGTCGGCGCAAAACGTTCGTCGCGCGCGCGTTTTTCGGTACGTAATTTTTGCCTGTTGCTCCTTTTGCTGCCCTTCGGCCGCCCTGGGCTGCACACAGAAAAAACTTAATCACGGGTTATTACCCCGTCATTATTTCGGGCCGTTTCTTCTCTTCTCGAGAACAATCCCCCACAAGTGCCCCGTTGCTCTGAGAGTCGAAAAGCGATTAACGAGAAACTAAAATTCCGCTGATGGATAAGCTCTCGTGCCAATTTCGTTTCGGACCAATTTACATATGCACCTAATATAAATTTATGTTAATTCATGTTTTTATGCGTTTTAAAGTTCCTAGAAGGGAATTTACACATTGGTAATTGTGATGTGATGTGTGTGTTAACTTGGCACTGACTTTGTCAGTGTTTGCAAAAGTTTAGTAATAAATGTTAATGACGTTTTGCGTTTTTCGGTTCCAATTACACGCCGTATGAGTTTTTGTATTCGCATTCGCACGATGCGTGACATTTTACCTGGTTAGCGTCGTTGTGCGAACAAATAGTCAAACAATTCAACTGTTATTGAACAACTTATTGAATAAATACATAATTGCGGACGTGCATACAACGTAATTATCAACGGATGATTTTTATGACCGGCAATCAAGGCCAAATTATGACATAGTCGCCTAGTTTGACATAACCCCAAATATTAACCTAATATATTTGGTGTGAAGGTCATTGGAGTCGTTAAATTAATTAGTTTTTTGGATTTTTGTGTAGGCGCCACCCTTAAAACCTACGGCTTGAATTTTATGGATCATTAGAATTTGTATAGTTCGTAAAATGCGTTTTATAGCTCTTCTAATTGCATTATGACAAAGATGGAGAGGAGTATATGTTACCACGTTTTCAGTCACCATAGATATCTGTAACATCGCGTGGCTGTTGAGCCCTTTGGCATTTGTTCTCGACTATGAGAGTAGTTTTCTTCATTAAGAGCAACGAAATTCCATGCGGCCGTTTTACCACTTGTCTGCGGCGTGTCTTCGGTCAAGCCCTGGGTCCATGCCAGTCGCACCCAACTCTTCGACTCATCCGAGCCCTTTTGTCGTCCGCGGCGCGTTGTCCCTTTTCTCCATCTCTGTTTTCATTTTTTTTCCAAATCACGTATCAATCTTTTTTCCTCCGGTCGACGAGCGAGTTTTTTATTCATTCATCGATTGTATCACCGCTACGCTTCAAAAAGAACGAGTTAGAGATCTGAATCTGGTTCGAAACCTGACTCCAGGGCCAGGGCTTCAATTGTTCCACAAGCATTTATGGTCATTGGTCATTTGGTCATTGTTATTATATTATTTGTATTCTCACCCGCAGTGCTGCAGCCGTTTGTGTGCGCGCATGATAAGAAAGCAATTAATATCGCATGCGTACTTTGCGCC